CGTGTGGAAAAAGGTTGAGTGGGTATCTTGCATGAACAAATTCTGTCTCTCTGCTCTCTGACTGTAGTAGTAAGGAACTACCATCCACAGGAAGAGAGGGAAACCATTTCCCAGTTCCTCAGCCCAGTTTATGAATATGCTTTGCCTGGATGACCATGGATTTCCTGGGACTCTATCTATAGCCAGCTGAGTGACAACATTTCCACTGACATCATTAGACTTTGGATTAGGCTGTAACTCGTCCAGCCCCTTAAGACTTTTCTCCTTCTGCTCTGACACATGTACCATACCCCTAGGACTACGGGAGTCACTAAGGATTTTCAGTAGTAATCCTGGACTGACAGACTGCAACAGCAAAAGCAAACCGTAGGAGACTTGTCAAATGGAGAACATATATCTTTATAGAGAGTCCAGCTGTATTCTCTTTTTTTTTTTTTTTTTTTTTTTTGAGAAAATGCACATTTCCCACCCTCTGCCTATTCCTTTCCTGTCTTGGAGGGCGTTGGAAGCCGAGAACCAGGAAAAGGATCAATGGAAAGGGAATTTTTTATTCTCAAGGCAAATGGGTCCTGCTGATTGACTCGTGGTTTACCAGAAAGCAGCCCTGCTGTAACAAATCTTAGCAAGTGGTGATCTAGCCTGCAAGAGCATGAAGGAGACTGTCTGTCAGGTTATATGAACAGTCTCCAGTTGGCCAAAGAAGAATCAGGGAGCATGCTATGGAAACATAGTTAGTAAAGAGCGAGGAAAGGCTGAAACTCCGTTTTATGAAAGTGAAAAACCAAATAAGGCATGAGGACATCGATATTTCTGATGATTCTTTGGTGTGCTCTTTGGAGCAAGAAGAGGAAATCACATGGGGAAATATGGGAGAAGGTAAAAAAGTGGAAGATGAGGTGAAATTGTAGAGAACATGCCATAAGAAGAGAATGGAGAAAGCTGTAAAGTACGTGAGGAGACAAATGAAGAACTTGCTGACAATGTGGAGAACAAAAATGAGATTTGGAGAGGAGCAAAAAGATTCTTTAGAACTAAAGCTAACAGCAGTCTTTTACATGAAAGAGTCTCAGAGGGACTTACTAACAATCACTAAAAACTGAAGAAACCCCTCAGAGGCTGTGTGGGAGAGAGAAAGTGAGGTATTCCAGACTTTAACATGGCTAAGGAAAATGTATGCTTAAAACTCTGTGAGGTGGTTGGTCAGACTTGCAATCAACAGTGTGAGGGGAAAGTTTGTCTTCTAGACAAAAGTCTAGGGTCAATGAGGCAAAAATCTTGAAACCCAGATCTGTTTCTGGAGTGGAACTTACATAAACCACTCTGAAATTTTGCTTGAATAACACCAGAGTAGTTCATCAACTGGATTATGTCAGCTCCCAGGATAGCCTCTTACAAGGAATTGGAAGATGGATTAATTGTACAACATAAAGATCTGTATTCAGATAGGGCAGTGTCTCTTTCTTTTAGTAATTTTAACATGAGTGCTTGCACAGTGTAAATTTGTCCTTTTCCCCAGTAAGGTCAGGCTGAAACTTTTGCCTTCCTTTAGTTGCCCACATCCTGCCAACAATCCTTTGAGTCTTTCCTAATAGGAAAGCCATTTTGAGTCATTTAACGATTAGCCTGCATGTGAACTTTAAATTAAAAACAGCAGCTACAATTAATGGAGCCCACAGTATCTTCTGCAGGCTGCAAAGACCAGTAGTGGGAAGAGGGGTGGCTTGTCAAGCCTGCTAAATAGAGATGGCCAGTTTCCAGTTCTCAAAAGGAGATGATGGATGAGAGATGGGGAAGGAAACTCTCTCGTGCAAACAAGACTCCCTTAGAACAGCCAGCACAAGCTGCCAGTGTGCATGGAATGCTTGCATGGGACTTTCCTTCATTTGAGAACAGGCCATTTAAACTGCAGGTGAGGTGCTTTCCTTACTTTATACTCTTCTCATGTGGAAGAAGATCTTTCAAGTAATGTATGGGAGGCAAGTGGAAGCCTCATTCAGAATCAGTGGTACCCATGTTCCCATATCAAAAGGAAATCTGCCTGTTACCAGTGCTTTATGAAAGCCCTTGGAGAGGGCAAAGCTCAGGCCTTGCTCAGACAAGGTATCCAAAACATTTTTCTAACTGATTGTCCTCTGCAGTACTACTGCTAGGTAAAATGGTTGTCCTCATGCAGAACTACTTGCTTTGAGAGAGACCTGCAAGATGAAAACATAAAGGCAGTAAGGACAGCCTGGGATGATGTGAAAGCCAGGGCAGGTCAAATTAGAGCCCAGGTCTCCTTGCTCTATTTCCCAGTTCTGACCACTAAATTCTCCTCTTAAAAGGAAACACCTGGTGAGCTAGGAGTAGCTGGAATGCCATTCCTCAGCTTCACAGTTATACTGCTTTATACTGATTTACTCCTAACACCACTGAAGTCAGCAGAGTTAAACCAAAGTGAGACCAGGCCGTAGCCAGAATATAAGCACAAAGTAACCTAACCCTTTGCTAGTGAAATACAAAAGGGCATGCTCACCTTCAACAGATTAAGGTGCAAATGTAAATAACGATGATACCTTAATTGGTCTGGTGTCTGTAAAAGCTTATGAAGAATTGCTGTCGTCACATAAGCTGAAAAGAAACAGGAGACTTTAAAATAATTTACAACAGCTTGTAGTCTGTTTTGCTGCTTGCTTTTGCTAGCACGGCTCACCTATATGATACATAAGAGGTGATAAGGAAAAAAGAGGAAAAGCTCTTAAGTTTTAAGGATCTTCAACCTTAATAATGTTTAACAGTGAGTGGAGGCCACCGCGTAGCAAGATCCAGGTACATGTTAGGATGGTGGGATTATGGAGTTGAAGCTGTCGGCACATCAGCTCCAGCCTGAGTTCATTCGTGTGTCTTGGGCAAGTCAGCCCGCGGCAGGCAGCCTGAGCGCTGCGTGGTGATTTGAGTGCTGTTAGCTGGAGTCACCCTGGCGAGGAAAGCAAATGGAAGGACCTGCTGCTCCTCCTCCTACAGAGCACAGAAATGAGATAGGAGCAGGATTACTTCCAGCAGCTGCTGACTGTGACTGCTATCATGAGGATAATCACAGCTGATACTCCAAGGTGAAAACAGTCACTAGAGTGATCTCTCATGTGTAAGCACTGTAAACTAGCACAGGTGTTATGTTTATACAGTCGCAGAAGAGTATCTGCAGCCTTACACACCTAGGTAGTGGGATCTGTGTCCTGTGAAAGTCTGCAGCCCTTTAATTTTTTCCTCCTGAAGAAACCAGTGTTGCTCGCTGAGAGGCAGAATATAGGACTACAGAAACTAGTTCTTTGATGTAGTTTGGCAAATTTCCCGATTCTAGAAAAGCCTAAGCATTAGACCCTGAAATCGTTTCAAACTTGGGACACTGTACAGACTATCCAGGTTTTTGGAGCATTTTCCTTTAATGGCGTGACATATTGACATAACATGAACATTCTTGAAAGAGAATAAGGCTACATTATGGCATGTTATAAAGGCATGAAAGCAGCTGAAGCACCCTTCTCACCTCATGCAGACGGTGCTGGTTTTCCAGGCACTGAAGTCAGAATGCTATTGACCATTGCTCTTCTAGGGAGTCCGGGAGCTTGTGGCTCTTGGCTATAGTGAGAGTACTGGGTAGGTATGAGCTTCTGATGATTTGCACTGTGACTAAACAGAGATTCTAGGCCCCAGTATGGTAGTTTAAATCACAAGAACTCCCTCTTACGTCTGTCTTCATGCCTGTCTCTTTCAGTAGTGAGGATTTGCTCAGGCCCTGCAGAATCGAGCTCTCTAATCCATCGCCCTCATGTTAACTTTTGACGCCATATCCTGGTTGGGCTGCTGCCAGGAGCAGCCTTTCGGTAATCCCAGCTGGAACCGTTATTTGTGCTACCTCTTCTCCCTGGGGCCTAATGGAAGGGAGCAACAAGGCATGTAAGCGTGTTGTGTGGAGAAACAGATGCTGTTTTGCTCCTGTTCAGGTCCCTAGTGCCTGCTTTGGACTCCATTGTGTTTAAATACGAATACAATAGTTAATAACTATGTTCCATGTGTTGTCCTCTTGAAGTGACTACGTGAAGGGACTGCATGGTGGGGAGTTAACGCTGTCTTGGGCTGAGCCCTTTGGTGCAGTTTGTTCTGCCTTGTAAGTGCTGCGTAACTCCCCAGCAGTAGAAACCTCTCACTTAGAAGTAGTAAGTCTAAACCTTAGTACGCTGCCACTTCCTTCTCAGCCCAGCCGCGTTTCCCGTGGTGCTGGTGGTAGTGCCTAAGGTGTGCTTTTCCAGCATAGCTGATAGCTGGACTTCAGCTTGTAGAAGATGGTGCAGACTCTCCTGCACGCAGTAACGCTTTTGCTAAATAACGGTTACAGCTCTGCCTGGCCTCGTAGTCAATACAGCTGTTGTGTATTGTACAATCCTGCCAGTACTAGCTAAGCAGAGGCAAGCTCTACCACTTATGTTACAGCAGCAGCAAACCTGGCCAGGTCACCTGTCCTGCCTTCCCCCCTGAGGACGCCCTGAGGATCTGGCTAGAACGTGGCTCCCAGCAATAGCTTGACTCTGTGTGCTGAGTTTTTGCATATATGGTGCTGCAAGGTGATGCCCTCCCATGAGGATTCAGACAGGTGAGCCCTAGTCCCAGCTCTTCCGTGTGGGCAGAAGAACGCTTTCCCAGTCTAACTTGGAGGGGGGAAAGTATCCTTATAACTTGATTTCACATGTAAGAACTGAGACTGTCATTTTAATGATGTGGTGACTGCAAGTTTAAGGGAAACGGTGCCTCTTCACACTTTGTCTCACCCTCTGCACAAGTTGGCAGCTATTGAGATTTCTCAAGGTATTCAGCACCAATTACTTCTAAGTGGCTAATCCAGTAACACTTCTAGGAGAACAGCAGACTCAAGGGGCGTGCGGGGGAGAATCAGCTGAGGTGTGTTGATGATGGCACTGTTCTTTTTCTCTCCCTCCCTACCCTCAACTCACTCCCAATGAAGACACAAAGAGCACTATGTCACTGGCGTCCTGGTTCAGGTGGAATGAGCCCCCAAACCGCATTTCCCAGAGGAGCCCCACAGAAATGGTGACTGAGACGCTAATGATGGAGCTGAGCTGGCAGACCAAGCAGGCAGAGAAGCAGCAGCGAGAGCGGGAGAATGAGTATCGCAAGATCAAGACTGGGGTGGACTACGGCTGGCTGGTCAGCTATCCAAAGCAGAGCTATGATATCAGCCCAGGAGAGCGGCTGCAGCTGGAGGATATGTGTACCAAAATACATCCTTCCTACTGTGGGCCTGTCATACTCAGGTACAGTAAAAGATCTGATGATACAGACTTTTCCTTTCCCATTCTCCTCCTTAAGACGTGTGAGGAGTAAGTGAGAGTTGTTAGGTTTAACACAACAAAAACTTGGCATCCTGTATCATATGTAAGTCAGGTTGTAACAGTGTCTTTGTGGAAGATGAGAAATCTATTGTTTTAAGTCAGTTTAACATGGCATCATTTCCTCCAAAAGCTACTAAACGCCATTTCCCTCTAAGACTGGGTTGAGTACTTAATGCTCCTGAGCAGCTAGAGAAGTTTTATTTTGCCTGATAAATAGTGAGCATTTCAGTATCGTGATGACTTTTGCTTTGTTCTCTAGAATCGTAGAATAATTGGGGTTTAAAGGGACCTCTGGAGGTATGTGCTTTAACCTCCCACTCAGAGTAGGGCCAATTTCCAAGTTAGATCAGGTTGCTCAGGGTCTTCTCCTGTCCATTGTTGAGTATCTCTGAGGGTGGAGATTCCACAGCCTCTGAACAACCTGCTTTGGTGTTTATCCACTCTCATTGGAGCCTGCCTTCCTTGATTTAAGTTGTGCAGCAGGTATGGTGAAGCCCTTGTCCCCACTGTTCAGACTAGCCAAAAGGTGCAATTGTGTTTTTCAGCCTGTGAGCCAGGTATTGCCAGAGAAAGGAGAGATTGCGTGCTTGTCCCTCCCCTGCCCTCCCTCCACACCCTTGACATAGAGAAGGATGCAGGTGGGGCGTGCAGTTGGCTTGACCAGTTAGGTTGTGCCTTCTGCAGTGTAGATGTAGACACAGCCTCTTGAACTTACTGTTGAGCTTTTCAAGTGCTAGACATAGAATTGCTGCTTGCCAGATGAGTAACCTTCTGTGAGAATGCCTTCAGAAATAGATCTAGCAACCTGGTGTAGTGGAGGGCTTCCCTGCCCATGGCAGGGAGGTTGGAACTGGATGATCTTTGAGGTCCCTTCCAACCCTAACCATTCTATGATCTAAGCTTGCTGTAGCATCCAAACTAGAAGGGAGGGAAAGGACTCTTCTTCTGGGAATGGGCTCTTCTAAGTTAAACCCTCTCACTTAGCACACTGCAAGTGAGGAGTAGTGGCTCTGAAGTCCACATGAGCCAAAGCAAAGTTGTGATAGGGGCCTTTATAATCCAATTCCCCTGTTCCAACATGTTCTTCAGTTGGGATTAGAAAGAAGAGAGTCCTGGCAGGCCATATACAATGGGCTGCTCAGTACCCTGCAGTCTCTCACTGCGTATGCTGACACCTGTTTTCCCTTAAACAAATGAACCTACAGCTCTTCAACTGCCACTGGAAGAGGGCTGGAAATAGCTGGTCCTCTGTCTTACAGTGGAGGCAGCCAGGAAAGGATGCCAAAGCTACCTCTCTAGTTCTCATCTTGCCCAGGGCTGAACCTTGGAAGCAAGCAGGCACAGGGCTTTGGCAAAGGTTGCCATGGTGGCAGAATTGGGGATTTGGGATCATTTGGTGGCCGAGTTCTCTCCTGTGAAAGTTTGCTGGGAACAGCATCTGCCTTGTATTTGTATAACTCCGAGCTATGTTGTAAACAAGCCACTACAAAGCCCTCGGGGTTCAGAGTTATTTTCACCATCCCCAGGGCCACTGAGCAAGGCCTGTCTGGCAAACAGGTTATTTCCATGAGAGCAGGCTTCAGTCGCTGAAGTTGGGAAGCCCCAAGGTTCATCATCTCCTTCAGAAAAGAGTATTAAGCTGAGCCATATGCAACTTGCTTCTGCTCAGCTGCCTTTTTTTTTTCTTTCTTTTTTTTAACTAAGATCATGCAAGATGCATTATTTCAGTGCAGCTTGTAGTGGTTGTTCACAATTCAGGATACTGTTGACAGTAGATAAACATACTTAGCAACGTTGGTGGGCTCTATGTGGTCATAACTGAAAAAGGATGAAACCATCCTCTTGAAAATCCTCTTACAAATTGCTATTATAGGCATCATAAATTGTATTACAGTATGATTCAAGAAGCGGCATATTTTTGTTTGTTCCATACTACGCAGTTTGCATGGTTAGCAGAGCCACATTAACAAAATGAGGCTTGCATAACCTTTGTTGGTTCAATTCTGTGATCGAGAAGGGAATGTCACAGCCACAAAAATAGCAGAACCGGATCGGGTCAAAGATCTGTTTGATCTGATGTGCAATCTGTATGTGAGAGAGTGGCCAGCAGCATCAGTGTAAGGAAAAGAGAAAAGAACGAGGCAAGCAAACACAACAGGACAGACGATTACAGTACCTTGTTTATAGCCTCCAGCTTACTGTGCCTTGTAACTTGCAGACTTTGGGAGGCAGAAGTGGTCCTTCTGTCCACAAATGCCCTATCTGGCTTTTTATTTCAGTAGTTTGTTTAGGTTGTGGGGTTTTACTTTGCTTTTTGAACTCATGCAAACTTTTAGCATTTGTGGCACGCCGTGGCAGAGTTCCACATCTGAACTACAACTGTGCTGTGGAAAACTGGTTTTTGTTTGTCTCAAACTAACATGTACTAGTTTTATTATCTCTTTTATTTATCCCTTCTTCTTGTGTTGGAAATGTGAACAGTTGACCCTTCTTTTCACCTCCTAACGAAGAGCCCTGTGGTTCACAAATCTTCATTGCTGACATGGAAACAATGAAAAAGAATGAAGCTTGCCATGCTAGAAGCTGAAAACGTACAGGAGAAAGAAGCAGCATGCAATCTAGCTTAAAGGCAGACAAAATTGGATAAATTCTCCTCTCAGGAAGTAGATAACATGGAAATTTTAGTAACTTTCCCAAAATTGCACAAGATGAGTATAATAGGAGTTCAACTGAAATCTTCACATTTCCAGTGAAATACTTTAATCGTAAGATCATTGTACTGCTGATGTTTCCTCTTGAATGCCCTGTGACTTTCTAATATGTAGTAACTTTTAGAAAAAACTTTCACCAGAAAAAAAAAATCTACGAGCTTGCATTTGGAAATTCAAATGCAGTGCATGTACCTTACTGAAGCCCTTGGTTCTGTCTGAAATATTAAGCTTGATCCTTCCCCTTCCATCTTAGACATCTGAAGAGCTGAAGTCCTTTTTGATGTATTCGACAAGCATGGAATGCTTAAATGACACAAGTAGTAGGCATCTTGCAAGACTGCAGAGTTTGTTTTGTTTGTGTCATGCAAGGTCTCCTTTTGTGGGAGATTCTGAGCTCAGAGTCAAAGCCAAAACAGAACATTTTTGTATGAGTTGTCAGAGATGTCACTTTATTCTTTGAAGGCCTAAATGATTATCCAAATTGTCCTTTTCTGTGGCTACAGTCACACCTACTGAGAGGCAGAGTTTCCACAAATTTGTTTCTTTAGATGCGGAGGAGGCTGGAAAGGAGCACTTCTTAAATGGGAGGGGTTTTTCTCTGATCTAGTTTTGCCTATTTTGTAAAAGCTGTACTTTGGGTCAATAGAAACTTTTCTTTGAGTCCCTTGAAATTCTGGAAGGATTCAAGCACACTGCAAATACCATTACTTCTTCCATCAATATTTAGAGACCCTGATTCACCTCATACAAATAAAGCTATTGCGTTTGGGTGTAACTGACCCATTTGAAGGAAGTGACAGTGATTTTGGTGAAGCCCTTCGTGGGCTGCCATGCTTAAACTGAATGAGTAGACTAGTAGCTTGCTAATACAGAATGCTAGATTTTTGCCATCTTCACTCAGAGCGTTGGCTTTTAATCAGAGCTAGTTATGGTCTGGTTTATTTCTTTCAGTTTCAGTAAAAGTGAAACAGCTGGGTTCTGTCCTTCTCTGCCCAGAGAGAAACAAAAAACCCAAATATGGAAACAGAAACCTGTGTTTTGGTGATCTGAGCTGTTACTAATACCACAGGCTAAGGACTGTAATTTTCTAAGGATTGTGTATAGCAGAAGTGGACTTCCTAGTATGCTTGAATGTAAGACAAATACCTAAAGTCAGAAACTGATTTGTTTACAGTTATGACCTTAAGTTTGAGGTGATGTGACATGAGTGTTGCAGTTAGCGTGAATGCCATAGTCCTTTGGGAGTCAAGCAGCCTCTCTAGCAAAGCTGTTCGTAGCTTTACAATATAACCAGAATTGTTGCTCAGAATATAGATTCAGGAGTCAGCAGCTAATTATTAGCACTAAGCACCCCACGTTTTCTTCGAATGACTAAATCTACTTAGAGCTCCCAGTTCAGACAGGCACTCAGGAATACACTGAACTATAACTATATTGTTTAAGTCCACGGACTTCCATTGGATTTAACAGGTCTTTAAAGTTCAGGCTGTACTTAGGAAACCTCCTGAACGGGGAACCTACAGAATAACATAGCCAGGTGACAGCGCTTTGAAAAAAGCAGTGCCACTAGGAGCCAAGCACAGCCAGATTCTTAAAATCTAATGGCGGTATGAGGAAACTGGAGGGCCAGGATTTAAAGGACAAATTAGTCTGAACTGTGATTAAAACAGAGCCGGGACTGGGGGAAGTGCTCATCCTTATGTGTGCATAAACATGCTCCTCAGGCTTCTGTGGTGGTTCAAGGTGAGTTTTGTTGAGAGTCACGTCTAAGACTGCGTGACTTGCATAATATATTATAGGTTAGCTACCAGTAGTATCCTAACTTGTTTCACAAATAAGATAGATAGGTATATTTTCCTGATGAGTAAGGAAATCGTGTTGAGGGGTTTCTAGATACAGTTGTGCAGTTGCCTAGTTTGAAACTATTCCATGCAAAAGTCTAAGGGCGTTAACCTGTGCTAGAAGATAGGTGAGCCTTGTGCAATTTTGTGTGCTTAATTCCACCAAACAGCTTTGTGTGGAGTTTGTTTCCCAGGATACAAGCCCATATTCCTTGATTCCAGAGGTTTTACTGGTTTTATATGTTGCTTGTTTTGTGCAGAGAGCAGACTGCTGGATCATCTAGCACATCAGTTGGCTTTCATTGATGACTGGGGAAGATGGCTTCGACCATGCGTAGGCGACTGCAGCAAGCATCATCTGTTTTCTGACACGGACTGGTTAAGCAAGACCTCAGCCTCTGATAACCTGTCCATCCTTTCTGCTGAGAAATATTTGTGGCATGCTCACCTTTTGGACTTCATATGTGGGCTGTCCCTTACGCAAATGTGCTGGTACTGAAGTTAGATGGGGATTAATAAAGGGGTAAAGTTAGTTCACCACACTGGGGAGAGGAAAGGGCCTTCTTTCCTTTCTCCATCTTTTAGATTGCTTTCTCTCTGTTTCTTAGGCCTGCTCAAACCCATATGAAGTAGTTTTTGTGTTGGTCCTGAAAATCAGAGGTAAATCTTAACAGCAAAAGCAGAGTTCACAAAGCAATTCTTGCTGCCCTAGCTAAGGAGTGTGCAAACAGGCAGACAGCTATGAAGGTGAAAAGTTACACTGATTTTAGAAAACTATTTCACCTCGGTTGGTTGGGAGTGTTATTAGCAACACAGGGCATTAGCATTAGAGCTCTGTGCTCAGGGGGTAAATTTGCCATCATACTACCTGTTTTCCCTTTTGATCCCAGAGCCAGTCACTGGTCCAGTAATAGCCTGACACATGCTGCTACCTTCTCCAGAGCTACAATCCAGCAGTGTGGCACGCAGCCTCTAAAACTGGAGGCAGTGATGAGGCCTTTCGGGTGCGCAATTGCCAATACAAAAGAAGAGGATGTACTGATAGATATATCTAATATGACAGCATCTCTCTTTAAAATACACATGGAGATAAAAAGAATGACTCATTCAGTTCCTCTGCAATAAAAGTCCTTTGAAGGTGCTTTCCCTTATATTCTAATAATAATGATGATGTGAAAACTTGGGTTTCGATGGACTCATCTGTCAATGCTTCTGACTACGATAAAGGGAAAAGTTATTTATTGTGAAAACTGTATTTTTGGCTCTTCGATAATGCAACTGAAGTGCCTCCTCAGAAGGCAGAAAGGATGTTAGCAATGTACAGCAAATCTCTGTTACCGCTGTAATGTGGTAACCCTCACAAGACCTCGTCTCTGGCTCTTACAGGCTCTGCGCAATTCGGTTTAGCATCATTGTGTAAGTACTTATGTGCCAGTGTGAACTACAGTGCCCCAAAGGCTTTCTGCACCCAAAAGTTCAAAGTTCAGAGGTTTTTACTTGGTGGGGGTGGAAGAGGGAGATTAGGAATTCATCTGAAGCAACTGAAATGGTTATAGAACATCTTGGTGACTTTGGCAGGTTTTGTGTCAAACTCCTCTAGCTTGACCCTGAGAGGGACTGGTGCTTCTGCTTGATACTGAGTTCCCTCAGCGTGCCACAGGGGTGTCTCCACAGCTGCACACGCAGCTGCCAATACTTGCGGTGAGAGAAGCACACTGAAATATCTGGGATACAGCATGATGTTAAGATGTACGTCCAATACCAGGCCTCCACAGTAAGAGTCAAAAGGCATAGATGTACAAAGAGTCTTTTTGGTTTATTTCTGGTTTTCCTTCTGTCCTTCGTTTTGGGTACCCTTTGGTACCCCATTAAGCAGTGCAATTCCATAGTGCACTAAACTCCTTGTTACATTCCTAGGGCTTATCAAAAAAACAATAGGCAAGATCTTACTCTGTCAGCTCCTGCTGTATTAAGCTTATTTAAACATAATCCTACTGTTTTTCTATCCTTGTTCAGTTCTGTTGGAGTAAAAATATCAAAATGCTTACAGATCTTACACGTTTTAGCTTCCATCAAGTACAAGTACCTGGATTTTAGTGAAGTACTAGTTTAGTTCTGTGTCTGCTTATAGATGTAATTTTTATGTTAAGAACTGAATATTTATTAGAAGAGTAGCCATATTACCATCTGTCATAAACGCACACTGTTACAGAATAACTAGAATATCTATGTGGCCAGTGTGTGAGCCTTGGGAGTGGATCCCCCACTCTCCAGGCTGAGGACCAAATCACCCAACAAGGTGTCAGGAATGGTATGTTCTCTTCGTAGCCCAGCCAGTGACCTACTCAGTGACTTCAAGAAAACTATCCTGCTCTGCATCTCATCTTCCTCACCTGCAAAACAAACAGTGGTAATTCTTCACTTCCCTGGTATTAAGCCAGCTTAATAAATGTCAAAAAAACATTTTGAGCTCTTTGAGAAGGCACTGGAGTAATTCACAGTTGTCTAATTAGATACAGCATTGTGCTGCCAATCAAGGTGTTATCAGCTGAGCCAGTCCATTATCTGACAGAAATCCACAGGAGGATGAAATACCACTTCACTGAAATTCAAATACTACCAAATATAAAACAAAGAAGAGTTTTACCGGATTTTTGTTTGTCTAGTGGCCATTGGGTAATGGGAAATGAGAACTGGAAACAGGGTAAGTCTAGTGGGACTTTCCCTGCTATATCCTCAGCTTCTGGTAAGCAGCTGTTTGGGGACTACTTGAGCAAGGATTTGCATTTGGACAATCACGTTTAATCAGCAGTGATGGGGATATTTTCCACAAACTTGTCTAATCGTTTTGTTTCTTAAGCTACTGATAGCACTGAGTTCTGATTTAATAGGTGGTGTGTGAAAAGAACATTTCCTTCTGTTTCAAAGTTGTCACCTTCTAGCTTTGTTTGGTGCTGCCTGTTATTTCTTGTGCTTATGGGAAATGGTGATTCATTGCTTCCTGACATTCTCTGGCTTGATTGTGATTTGAGAGACCTCGAACTATGAGATTTTCATAGCCCCTCCCTATTGTTGTTCCCTTCAGTCCAAGGAGTCCCATTTTGCAGGAGAGTGCAAGTTCCAAGCCTAGCACAGTGACTTGGCAGAAATCCGTAATTTGGTATTTTTAATCAAAGCTGTGCCTTGACTGTGCTTTCAGATTCCGGCAACTCATTGCTGAATATGAACCAGAAGTGCAGGAAGTATCCCGTCTCTTCCGCTCTGTCCTGCAGGAAGCTGCTGAGAAGATCAAAGAGGAGGAAGAGGCCAAGAAGCTTGCCAGGCAATGGAACACAAAGAACAAAACCAGCCTCTCCTTAACAACATTTAAATCTCGGTCCAGGATTTCCCCATTCATCAGTGACATCAAGACCATCTCTGAGGATGTGGAACGGGGCACCCAGCCCACCAGAAGGGTTTGGAGCATGCCAGAATTTCGGAACACCAAGGATTACTGACTCTATACTGAATAAGGTTTTTAGACAGTGATCTTTCAAAATCCCAGTTAACCCTTTTTTAGCTCTACTGTTTCTTCTTTGTTCCAGCTCGCTTTTCCTGCCTGTCTCTCTCTTAGAATCTATGTCCATACTAACTGCTGCTGATGCCGCGGTGTGTGACACAATTTATTACCAAACATGTTAGCCTTTCCTTTAATTTAGTAGCTATACAGTAACCTTAAGGGCAAGGCTCACTTACATCTCCTTTTTATTACTGCTTTCTTGTGGAAAATGAATTAGTTTTGTGATGTCTGTCTTCTCCCTTTCCCCCCCAGCCTGGATGTAGTTATCTATAAAAGCTTTTGGCCCAAGCTAAGGAGAGCTGCTGGCTGGACCAATCTTGCTGAAAGCAAGACAGCCACTTACCTGAGTAAGGCTTGCAAGATCAGGCCTGTAAGTTAAAGCTAGTATCTGATTTGGAACTGAACTTCCTTTTCCAACTAATAACCTTCCTCAGTGCTATGAGAAACTTCACAGGTAACCTCAGCACTGCTCCTGATCAGCTTTTTGCTGACAATTCACAATACAAACTGAGTAGAAACAGACCCAGGCTTTCTGAGATGAAAGACCAATATTATTCCACGGCACCCAGTTTATGCATGCTCAGGTTTCTGGGGTATTTTCTCTTTTTGTGCAGGCAGAACCCCCTGAACCTTGCACCTGCAGAGCAGATAGAAATGTAACAAACCTGCTGTGTAGATATACAGGTAGATACATCAGTGCTGTGTCAAATGCTGTTCTTGGTCCTCAGTGTTCTGTGATGCTGAGGTAAGTGTTCCACCCCACATCCCAGCAATAAGTCAGTGGGCTGAAATTAATGTTTATGGCTAAGTCTGAAAGAGTACCAAAGTATAGCATCAATGTACGGAGAAGGTACAGAGAAGGGTGAAGGAAATCAGCGTTCATCTACAGGGCTCTTTGTATAGCTGCAATAGTTGAGATCATTTTAACAAGCTGCTGCTGTGAGTGACTGAAGAGCTCTGGTAGATGAAGGTTTGTTCTCTCACTCTTCTCTCATGAGTGCTCAGAAGAGAGCTTTCCAATATCAGCCTGTTGACCAGTGGAGTTGATACTATTACAAAAAGAATCATTAGTGCAAACTGAGTAGCTTGTAGGCCAGCATGGTTCTGCTGAGACCTTGAAGAAACAGGAAAACGCTGCTGAGGAAAAGCTACTAGGGCCCTTACTCAGCATCTGTACAGAGAGCTCTTGCCACCAAAGGAAAGAGAATGGCACGCTGTGGGAGTCATGGGTCCCGTAGATAAACCAAGGGTAAGGATGCTTTGTGGTGACCTACGAGAGAAGGGGAAGGAAGAGAGGGACTTCCCTCCATGACTGGCTTTTGGGGAATCATCCCAGTGGGGTACAGCCTCCTGGAAGACTCTGTAGCTTTGTTGTTCTTTTGTCCATTTCCGACTCTTTTCCCTGGGGATCTTTGCAGCAGCATGTGGGTACTACGGCAAAGACAAAACCCTTTGAAGCTGTGCCAACTCTGGGAAGAATTCCAGTACATGAAATCTATCCTAGAGCAGAAATGTGCAGCTTCTTCCAGAGATGGGGGAGGGCAGCATAAAACAAAGATCGAGATCAAACCATTAAGAGCTCTCTAAGACTGTGAGATTCTGGCTCTTCCTCTCTCCCCTCTGGGCTATCTAAGATTGAAGACAAGGCTTTCTTACTAGCACCAGGCTGTAGTTTCTAGTCCCTTGGTAAACGCTGCTGCCAGCAACCCTCCTAGGGACAGAAAGCGGAAGCTCACTTTTAATCCAAAACTCAGGGCTTCCACATACAGCAATTTCAACTCTAGGTCAATGAGGGAGAGTTAAAGCCTTCTGACAATCAGCTCGGTGTTTTTCAGCTCTATGTCCTTGTGAAGTAATGTGACTGTGTACATAAAGTAAAAACAAAGGCTTGACATACTTAGCATAGCCTTAGCTGTCTTGAAAATGTGAGATCTCTAGCAAGGGATCACCACAATTTGAAGAAAAATTCTTGTTTGGAAAAAAGTTAACCACTTTTTAAAATATATTTACAAGCCACCGTATGGTACTGAAGGCTGAGATGAGTTCATGAATTTCATGCTACAGCTCTGTAGTAGTTTTATTTTTACTCACATTCTATTTGACACCTTCAGTATTGACTGTATTGATGCAATATTTGATGGACTGCTGGGAGAGACAGGACATTCTACCACACTGACATAAAGCTCTTTGTTACAGTAGTATCTGTAACGTGCTTACCC